GCGCGAGAGTGCGCGAGAGAGTGCGTGTGAGAGTGTGTGAGAGAGTGCGTGTGAGAGTGTGTGAGAGAGTGCGTGTGAGAGTGCGTGTGAGAGAGCGTGAGAGTGCGTGTGAGAGTGCGTGTGAGAGAGCGTGAGAGTGTGTGTGAGAGAGTGCGTGAGCGTGTGTGAGCGTGAGCTTGAGCTTGTGCGTGTGTGAGCGTGTGCGAGCGTGAGCTTGTGAGCGTGTGTGAGCGTGTGCGAGCGTGAGCGTGTGAGCGTGTGCGTGCATGCGTGAGCGTGTGTGAGCGTGTGTGTTAGTGTGAGCGTGTGTGTGTGTGAGCGTGTGAGCGTGTGAGCGTGTGTATGTGTGAGCGTGTGTGTGTGTGTGTGAGCGTGTGAGTGTGAGCGTGTGTGAGCGTGTGTGAGTGTGAGCGTGTGTGTGTGTGAGTGTGAGCGTGTGTGAGTGTGTGCGTGTGTGTGAGTGAGTGTGTGTTACGGAATTTCTTTGAAAGATATTTGCTTTACATGCTCTTTTGTAGTTACTTTAAGGTAGTTTTTAAAATATTTTTTATTACCTTATATGTTCAAAACTGTAATTTTTCACACAAAAAAAACATCTTGTTGCAACATTTTAAAGATTGAATATATTTGGTCAAAATGCCATGTTATAAAAGATGAAGTGCTATGCAGGCTATTTAAGACAATACTGACTGATTAGACGACAATGCTGAGCTACAATGCTAAATGTTTGCCCCCCCCTTTCTCTCTCTCTCTCTCTCTCTCTCTCTCTTCATCGTTCACACATCTCTGACCTCAAATACATAAAATTTTACTGTAACACTTTATAATAGCGTTCAGTTGTAAGTCAGATGTCTTCTCTGACACACATGTAGTATAACGCTGTGAGATAATATTACAATGTCAATTTTCAATGATTTATAAGTGATTAATAATATATTAACTAGTAACTTATTAGCCATCTACTAAGGATCTGTTTGATTATTTCATGATATGCTTTTTTTTTTTAAAGATAACTTACGACAGATTTGTAAATCGTTAGCATATTACTTAATAATCATTTGTGTGTAAAGTCATGTTTTGTAAATGATTAGTTCATCATTAACTAATCACTTATAAATGACTTACAACTGAACGTTATTATAAAGTGTTACCAGAAAATACTATACAAAACTTATTGAACTAACTAGTTGGATAAACTTAGCCACCATGTTAAGACTGTGTGTTAAGAACTAGTTTGACTAACCAGCAGCTGTCTTACTCTTCCAATACTAACAAGACCAATCTACCTTTTCATAACTGCATTAAAAAAGTTATGGCCAGTCTTCAAGAATAAAAAATAGATGACTAACTTTTTAAGACTAGTCTAAACAGTTTAGGCAACCGGCCTCAGTTCTTTACCCCCCCCTCTCTCATCAGATCTAAGCAAATCTCACAGCTGACCTGTTTTGATCTGAAGAGTGAGTATGTTTGTGTGTATGCTGTGTGTCTGCAGGGAGGACGATATGCTGGACATGGCTGCGATGCTGCAGGAGAACTCTCGTCTGAGCTGCCAGATCGTCCTGACGCCGGAGATGGACGGCATGGAGCTGACGCTGCCCAAGGTCACCAGGAACTTCTACGTGGACGGCCACGTGCCCAAACCGCACTGAGCACTGAGGGTTCGTGACAGATCGCAAAGCACTGTGGGACACCGCCGCTAGAGAAGCCTCTGGTTAAAGGCTCGAGCATCTCTGAGCTTCTCATCCGGTGAACTCTGGAGCTCCGGCTGAGTTCGGTGCGCAGGTATTTCCTCACGAAGGACTGCGGCGTGCCGCTTCATTATCTTTCATATAACCACAACATCAGAGATAGTGTACATGTACTGAAAACATCACAATCCAACACCTGCTTCTCTCTGGCTCTTTTCTTTTGTATGAATAAAATGAAGCCTTTTTTTAGGACCGTTAAGATTTTCCACATTAGTTTTTATGACAGTGCTCATCGTTTCCCATGACTGTAATGCAGTTAGTTTTGTAATTCCCATTATCCTCGATGACTTGCTGTACTGCAGCAAAATATTACTGTAGTACCATATCTTATTGATGAAAGGAAAAATTAAAGAATGTGAGTGATGCGTAAACGGGCTTCATTTTCTTCATACACCGTTTGACTTCTTATTTCCGTGTTGATTTTGTGGTGAAGTATCTATCAGCTGGACGTGATCTCCACATGTTTCATGAGATTCACCAAAAACAGAAACATTCCACAGTACAAATAATTTCAGGCTTTTATAAATGTTTGCTTGTTCAGACTCTGGAGAAAGAGTAGAAGAGCGCGGGGCACAAAGTAACGCGGGGTAAGTTGTAACACACCTGGTTTAAATATTTCCACACATGCTAGCATAACCCAATTTACAGCATTTACTAGTTACCATATCGACATTATATAGAGAAAAAAAGTGCTCCAAAATTCAAAAGTCTTTTGAAGATATCGCTGAACATTTATTTTACCATAGTAAAATTATATTTCTGGCTTAAGTACATTTTTCATCTCAGTTTTTATTACTTTTAATTCACACTATTTAATTTAATAAATTTTTATGATAAATGACGAGAAACAGGTGAATAAAGACTGACAGTCAATGTTTAATGTTAAGAAATTATTGTTTCAAGACATGTAAAGCATTTTGGCTCGTTTAAGTGGGCCGTCTCAAGCACGGTTGCGATGTGTTCATTGTCAAACTCCAAAATCAGATTATTTTTAATTCTTAAAAAACGCCATTATTTTATTTGAAATAACTAATTATTTTATTTTATTGACAAAATATTTTAATTTGTCTTGTATATTTTTTTCATTCGATCAGAAAACATTTTAAGCTGTTATACGGTAATGTTACAATGTACCCCACCTACGGGGCATGTTGTCACATTTCACTTCATCATTAATTCATTACAATAAATTAATCCAATATCCACTCATTTAATTTAGAGAATATAACCCTGCGTCCCAATGTGCAAACTATCCACCCTATCTGCCCTAAATAGTATTGCAAATTGCTAATATATCGCAGAGTTTTGCACATTGGGACGCAGGCCATGTGTCACAGGTGAGGTCACGTGACAGGCGGAGGATTGCGTCTGCTGCAGAGTCTCAGCGGTGAGTTTATTCCCATCCCTTCAGAATCACACAAACACAAACTCCTCCTCCTCAGCTCCAGCTGCTGCTGTGTGAGGAACAGGAGCGTGATGCCGCGCGCGGGAGATTTACTGTTACTTTGTAGCGACTGCTGAGAGGAAATTCTGCGATCTGTTACATTGTGAGTTATGACGCTTAAGAGCTGAAATATTCCAGAGCAGAACTAAACTCTGAATGACTTTAAAGTTTGTTTTGTTTCTGTCGGTTTATTTACCGTCAGTTCAGATTCAAACGTTCGCCACTGCAGTGAATCTTTACAAGATACTTTAATGTCTCAGCCAAACCACGTTATCAATAATTCTGTCTGTCCTGTTGTATGTTCGGTCTTATGATGATGAGATGTGTCTTCAGTTTTCACAATGATCTTAACTCTCAAATACATCATTCTGCAAATGATTGGAGTCAGTATTTATTTATTTACAAATTACTACTTTTATTCAGCAAGGACGCGTTAAGTTGGTCAAAAGTGACAGTAAAGACATTTATAATGTTGCAGAAGATTTGATTTCAAATAAATGCTGTTTTTTTTTTACTTTCTATTCATCAAAGAATCCTGAAAAATAAAATGTTTGACGGTTTCCATGAAAATATTAATATTTTCAACATTGATGATAATCAGAAATGTTTGTTGAGCAGCAAATCAGCATATTAGAATGATTTCTGAAGATCATGTGACACTGAAGACTGGAGTAATGATGCTGAAAATACAGCTGCGCATCACAGAAATAAATTACAGTTTAACAGTTATTCACGTAGATAACAGCCGTTTTAAACTATAATAATATTTCACTGTTCTTACTGTATTTTGGATCAAATAAATGCAGCTGTGGTGAGCAGAAGAGACTTCTTTCAGAAACATTAAAACGTCTTACGGAACCCTGGTTGTGTGAACGCTCAAGGATGTTTACATTTATTCCATATTTGGATGGCTTCAGAGTGTAATAGTGTACCTGTTCCTCTCTGTTTCAGTAAACCGATGAGGGAACATGAGCTCCAGAAGATGTGCAGCACCAGCAGGTGACCCAGTCCACCATCCTCCAAACTCTCAGACATCACAGAGACCGCGGTGATGTCCAGACCTGCATCTGAGCCCGTTCCCTGCAGCAGCGCCCCGTCCAGCGCATGTTTCTCAGTCATTTACGAGCTCACAGATGCGGAGGAACTCAAAGAACCCGGCGATCTCGCTGAGCTCATAAAGACACACACAGCGGATCACATCAGCGCCAGTGAGAAGACAGAAAACCCGTCTGTGCTGCACATCGAGGGCCGTTCTGATCAGGATGAATCTGTTATCCCGTCCACAGGAAGTGGTTGTCCTCTTGACTTCCTGTCTGGTGTCTGAGCGAGACGCTGAGAGTGTGTGGCTCCCTCTGAACGCCTCTGAAAGCTCACAGTGTTCCTCACAGCCGACAGACCTCAATAATAATCTCTTAGAGAGCGTGAGTAAGGATCGCAGACGGAAGCAGGCTCGTCCCGAGCGCAGCCCCGACCCGCAGGACCCCCGCAGCTGGACACCGGTCAGAGCCGACTGATCATCACCTCTGACTACAGGTGGAGCCTCTGAGGGAGTGAGTATGGTGTGTTTCTGCTCAGCGAGGAGATCCGGCGCTGGAGGAGGAGCAGGAGCAGGAGCTCGAGCTCCGAGGAGGAGAGCGACTCCTGAGCTCTGTCCCGTCAGTACTGCACACCAGCACCAGAGGGCGCTCAAGACACACTCTCACTCACTCACACACACACACACACACACACACTCACTTACTCACTCACTCAGACACACACACACACACACTCACTCACTCACTCACA